AAAGGGAGGTGGCAGAGGGGTACTGCGAAGGCCTGGGCTCAGTTGTACTTGGTCTCCTTCTAAATAAAGCATCTCCAGTCATACTGGCTTGAGCTGCTGGCTCAGCCCAGAAGCCTGGAAAACTAAATGACATCATCTGCGTACCACTGACAGACGGTATTTCCGCTCAGAAACTAAGTGCACGGATTTCAGCTGAAGAGTGTGGCCAGGGAGCATTGCTGGTTTTAGGGAATCCCCTAAAACTGCCCTTTCTCCCTGCAAAGGACCTGGGCAGGCAGTTGACCTGCATTTTCATCTCTGCTCTCACCCAGGGCATCCCAACCCAGCCCCTCTGTGCCCCAAGAGGGACCCTGCACCTCAGGAGGGACCCCAGCAGCATCTCAGCTCTCTAAGCCAGTCTCACTCCAACACCACGTGGCTGGGCCAAGTCCAAGGACTGGCCCATTGGCTCCTTTCCCCCTGTGCTGCCAGCACTGCACTGACCGCAGTCCTGCGGGGGCTGCTCGCCCAGAGGCTGGGGCTGGTGGGGTCAACCACATGTGGCAGCAGGTCCGGGGCTGTGATTCCAGAAGGGGGGTCATGGGTGGGAATTTTGGGACTCACCACAGTAGTACTCCAAACCAATATACTCACAATCCTTGTCTGTATCTACTGCCACTGAGAGCAGGGTATTTCACCATCTTGTGAAGTGACATTGTGGAGAGGAAGGTAAGCAGCAATACAAAGCATCTGCATCCCTCTGGCATCCCACAGATGAGGACCCACAAGGGGACCAGAATTGCCCTATCAACTGGGGACTTAGAGCCTGGTGGTGTAGGAGCAGGACTGGGGGGCGAGGATTTCCCGCACGCACTAGTTCAGCTTCAACTGTGCTTTCCTGGGTGGCCTTTGGCAAATAACCTGTCATCTTCGCTCCGGGTTTCCTAGTTGTACAAGTTGGAGCGAGTGGGATTCTCCTCTGATTTCCACAGCTCTCTGGATTTGGTAGAGCTGATCCCCATCTGCAGGGGTACATGGGAAAGGAAAAATCAAGCCCAATAACAATAATTACTTTTCTCCTTCCCATGGGTGCTGTAAGGATTAGCTCATGTTTAGCACAACTCCCTGTAAGTGCTAAGTGTTATTAATGTCTTGGATTCCTCCAGGAGCAAATGTGGCTTTCCAGGGAGTGACGGGGTTTTTCCCTCACTGGCATCGAGCTGCAACTAAGTCATCACAGCCCAAGGTAAGCAGCATCCTATTTCTGTTAGGCTCAGGGTGTAGGGCAGTGTCTGCAGCACAAGAGCAGTCCTCACCTCGCTTTCCATCGGTGTTGGAGGGGTGAAGCCCATCTATTCTTGCACCGATGCACAACCAACAGGGCTCTGGAGGAACACGCATCCCACAGAGGGTCTCAGAGTGCGGTGCCCTAATAAGGGCTCATCTCACCAACATGGCAAATGGCATCTGCCAGACACGCAATGAAGAGGGGTTGAGCCAGGGGGTCCCACCAGGAGCAGCAGGGGACATGGATGCAGCATTGCCTGAGGTCCACCCAGCAGTCAGGGCCGGAGACCAGGTCACAGCCATGGCATAGCTTGGGGCACAGGTTTGAGTGTCCTGGCTCGAGCAGGGATGCATGGATGGGGGTCAGTTCATGCCCCTGGGTGCCCTCAGGGTCCTGACACACAGCATCTCTGTGCACCACGAGTATTTACACTCCTGTGAAGTGTGGAAAAGCAATGCACATCACCTAATGCTGGAAAGCCTGTGGGAGAGGATAAATTCTCTTTTCCAGGCTCCAGTGCTGGAAAAAGGCCCCGAGTCCTCCCAGGAGAGGAAACTGGCTTGTGGCTGGCTCAGCCTCTGCCTGACCGCTCCAGCAAATGTCCCTCCCACGGACCCCCCAGCTCTCTGGGCAGGGGTACAGGGGGCTGCAGCTCCTCCAGCTGTCAGACCCTGCCACCCTGGCTCTCCAGCCCTGCAGAGACAGGGCTGACTTTTTGTGACCCCTTCTCCCCGCGCTGACTCAACCGTGTCCCCATGGTGGGTGGCCGCAGCCCGGGGTGGGATGGCGTGAAGGTAGAGGCAGTACAGACTGGCAAGCTTTCAAAGAGGCCACAAGCTAAATAAATAGCCGGCAGCCTATTTCAGTGGCTGCTATATTTAGCTCAAGGAACATTTATTTATAGGCTTGGCAGCCATTCTGAGTCAATAAAAGCCCGAGAGCTGGAAAAAGGACGTTCCTGGGTTTCTCATTGCAGTAATGGCTTCTGCCATGCAAACCACGAGGAGCGAGAGGAGAGGCAGCCTCAGCACCAGGGCAGGGGGAGGAAGCTGTGCTGGGTGCACACCTATGGGTGCCTCTGCCAGGGGACAGTGCTTCCGCATACTTGTATCCCCAGCTAAGAGCAGACACCCCACAGCATCACCTGGGTCCCCTCCCGCATGGGCGTTGCTGCTGGTGACCCAATGGCCCAGCGGTCCCCTGGCCCAGAGGGAATTTCTCTCTAAAACATGACGGGATTTAGCTGTGCCCACGGGAGCAGTGACATGAGATGTCAGCCCTGGGGACTCCGCTGCAGTGTCTTCTCCAGGGCAGCAGGTTTGGAAGAATGAAGCCAGGAGCAGGTAAATGGGGAGGGACATGGGAGCAATGCTCACGTTTCTGTATTAAATAATTTTCCCTTTCCATGTCACGCATGGCAATGAGTGGTTGAGGGAGGAGGGCATGCAAGCAGCCCCTCTGAAGTCGCTAGTGGGGTCAGCCAAGCAGGAGGCTGAAGCTTCACACCAGGCAGTGCAATTTCTACCCCAGCAGCAGATGATGGCAGTAGTTTCCAGAGGCTTTACAAAAGACTCAGCAATTGCAGCTGGATGAGGGGAGTGGATTTATAAAAGACCAGAGGATTTAGCCCAGCCTGAGGAAAACAGCTGTGGGGATGAATGTCCCTTCTGCATTTAAGTCAATAAGCACTGCAGCTTTCTGGAGCCAGAGCTGCAGGGAGCCTGCTCATGCCTTCTCCTTCCTACAAAGCAAACCTGCTGCAGGGGGGAGCGGGGAAATGCTTCCACTAGCCTCTGCTTGAGCACAGCCCAGCTGAAAGGGGCTGCTGGTTGGCGCCTGCCAGCTGCCCCCCGTGCACAGCACAACTGCTGCTGTGGGAAAGAGGTGACAGCTCAGTCGGCCATGGAGGGACCGGCGGATGTTTATAGGGTTTAGCTGTAGTGCGCAGCGAGCGTGCGGCTACACACTGCTGCCACGCCAGGAGGAAGGTGGGAGCAGAGCATAGCTGGGAGGCAAAAAAAAAAGTAATAATAATAATAATAATAATCATCATCATCATCATCATCATCATCAGAATGTATTTAAATGCAAACACTCCATGCCTTTGTGCTTTTTAGCTCAGCAATCTGCACCATCCCCTACACTTGTAGGGGGGAGCAGGACCTGGCCAGTCCTTTCCATTAGAAAGGGGCTGCTCAGGTGCCTACCTACAGCTTCAGAGCCGCGAACCACACACCAGACCATCCGAAACCCCTAGAGTGGTTGTTTGCAGTCCGTGGGCCCATGAATGCCCCAATTAATTTTTATCCCCCTACTCCCTCAGCCATGAGTCTTATTTCTGCTTTGAATTAGTCCAGCTGTAGCTTCCAGCCTCGGGGCACTATACATAGATGTGGGTCTGGCCGTGCGTCCAAGTCTGGCTGTGTGTCCAGGTCTGGCTGTGTGTCCAGCTCTCCACTGGCTCTGGCCCCCATCGATGCAGCCGAAGATCCATTGCCCTCCCCAAATCCCCAAAAAGGACCCTCCAGTCCCACCCTGAAAAGATCTGGCCCTCAAAAACTAAGGCTGACACCAGCTGTTAAAACACCTATTCGGGTATTTATTACAACACGTTGTTCCAAAATACAAAAGAAAGGAAAAGAAAGTAGAGGGTAGAAAAGCACTGCTGTTTACAGCCTCCGGTAATAAATAAATAAAGACGAGGCAGGGGCAGGGTGTCTCCCCGGGTCCGACGCCGGCGCTGGCCAAACAGGCAGCGAGGAAGGGAGCGTGGTGGGGCTGGTGTCCAGAGCCTCTCTTCCCTGCTCGGGAGTCCCCAGGTATGCCAGGGTGGGCGCAGACCCCCTCCTCATGTTGTGCTTGCTGAGGAAGGGCCTGATCTTGCAGGGATGGGGGTGGGAGCTGAGGAGGCTCAGCCCCAGCGCGGTCGGAACCTGCCTGTTCCCTCCCCGTCCACGGCTGCCCCAAAGGCAGGTGAGGTAGGAAGGGTGATGCTGGACCGGGACCCCAACGGGGGTCTGCCAGGGTCCCCCGAGAAAGGGGCGAGACCTGAGCTCTGCTCTCCGGTGCGGTCTCAGAGCAACCTTGGAAATGAGTTCAGCACAGCATGATGAGAAGGACCCCAATCCACGGTGAAGCAAAGTCACGACAGAGACAAGAGACCGTGCCCAGGCCACTTGGAGAAGGGCAGTGTTAAACCCTGCAAATTAAAATGACTCTTCATGGGGCTGGCGCAGTACGGAGAGTGTTTCATACCACGGTGCAGACAGGGTTCCTCTTCCCTTCCCCTAATGTCTCCTCCTTCACCTTATAGCCAACTGGAAACCTCCAGGTTGTACAAGGAGCCCAGGCGATGGGTGCGAAAAACAAGCACTGGACTCTGTCCGCTTACGACACCCTGATTTATGTGTTGGATAAAGGCTTTATCCAGTCCCATGTCGGGAGCCATTCCCAGCCCCTTTCTGAATCCCTCCAGGTACTGGAGGCTGCTCACATCTCTCCTTGCTGCTCTGCCACTGAGCTTGCTCTAACACCGGCCATGTGTCCTCCCCAGGCTGTGCTGTCCCCAGGCAGGGGGAGCTCACTGGCACAAGGAGGACACTCAAGCCAAGAAAGTCCAGGGCATGTGGCTAAAACGGGGCACCAGTGCATGAGCTCAGCTGAGTGGGGTGAGCTTTGCAAACCAGCTGTGATGGCAGAGCAAGAAGCCCCTGCAGGTGACAATGCAGCCTGTAGGCGCAGCCAGCAGAAGAAGGTGAGAGGACCACAACCTGGAGGGAGCTGACTCCATGAGTTGGATGCCTGGGCAACGCTCCTTAAAGCTGTTACAAAAGCTTTAAGCTTTTGCCATTTAATCCTCTATTCTTGGTGCCAGTGAGTTCCTGCCTCTTGCAAACATGAGCAGGCACCTGTACCAGGGAGAGGAGCCGCAGGAAGGGAAGGGAAGAGTTAAGAGAATGGATCTGCCCTGGCTTTGGGTGTCTTTAAACCCTTAGGAAGCACCACCCTTCAGCTCCTCTGGCAAGGGTTTGCTGGGCTGGGTTTGCCTCCTGGGGCTTGGGACAGCTGGGAGCTGTGCTGAGTGCAGCCCCAGCCGGGCTGCGGGGAGCAGAGAGAAGGTGTGATGGGGCCTTGCGTTTATTCACAACAGAGAAACAAAGAGCAACATACAAAGAGTAAGAAGCAAAGAAGTACAGAATCATAACCATAATAATTGTAATAATAATAATAAATACTCAAATCTATCATTCATAGATTGCAATGACAACACTGATAGCTTATTATCATTAGTATTAAGGATGGGAGGGGGAAGGGAACAACAGGAGGGGGTTCTAGGGGGGATCGTCTCCTAAGGGGCCGATGTAATGGGGATGGATGTCCAAAGAAACAAGCAGACAAAGAGAAGGGCTGGGAAGGCAGCAGGGGCTGGGGACACTGCTGCCGAGGCTGGGGACGAGCCTGCTCCGACCCAAGCCTCTGGCTCAGTGTTGCCGACCTGATAGCTGCCCTCCTTCTGGCTTCACTCAGCCCCCCGAAAGGCAGCCAGGAAGGAGATGGCTGGGAAGCTCAGCCCTGGGGACAGGCAGGGGCTGGAGGGAAGGGCAAAATATTCTTCTAGCCTGAAGGAAAGCTGTGGTTTGCTCCATCCTTTGTGTGTTGGGGAGCTCAGCCATTGCTGCTGCCACGACTGTCGGGCACTCAACAGCTTTGTTGGTTCCTCCCTTGAAAGGAGAGACCTTTCCTCTCCTCTGCTCACAATTCTGCCACTGTGTGTCCCTACGAGTAAATGCACCCTCATCAGATCGGTATGGAAAGACGATTTTTGGTTCCAATGAGGCTTTGGTTTGGGTCATCTGGCTGTGAGAGCCCATAAAAAGACTTGGCTGACAGATGGTGGTGAGGGCTACCAGCCGGCACATCCATCCTCGTGATAACTCACAGCTCTCTGATTTATGAACAAAGTGGTCTATTTGACAGAGTCTGATTTTAAAAAATCATTTAAGTAAATTGCAAGCCCCCTCAGTGACCCTGATGGCTTTGGGTCAGCACTGGCAGGAGACACTCAGGCAGGGCTGCTCCATCAAGGCATATTTTCTGGATGTAGCCTTAAAATATTGCACGAGAGGGCTTCTAGTGCACATGCCCAACATAAAGGGGAAGGATGAACGCGAAGTACATCAAAATAAGGCTGCAGAGGTGGGTCATTGTTGGGGATGTCTGTTAGCAGTTATGATCTACGAATCTTAAAATCTACTTCTCTTTGCTCCGGTTTCAGAGGAGAGGGGAGTCCGTAGTGCTTAAAGCCTCAAACATGGCTGAGGAGCATCCAGGGGATGGCAGAATGGAGATGACAAAAAGCAAACCACATATCTGCCTCTTTGCAGACACTCAGAATCTCATTTACAACACGTGCCCACTCCTTCCTGACTTACTCCAGCTGTTTTTTTGCGCCCATAACGCACCGCATCAGCTAACGGGATCAGTTACATGAGAGCTCGCTAGCGCCTTGTCTCATCTCCTCACCTGGCTGTGCCGACCTGTTGTCCTCTTTTTATTAAATCCCTTGGGAAGTCATCTAGCCCCTTTTCCATTGCCCAAAGCTACACCTAACCAGCTCCTGCCAGCAACTTGCCTGACCTGAGCTCAGTTGACCCATGCTGGCACCAACCCTGGAGGACTACGGGATGGGCAGGAACTGAGTGATACAGAGCAGAGATCAGCAGGCGATGACCTGACCGCTGGCATACTTGGGAAGAGATGCCACTGCCAACGGCAGCAGGAGAGGAAGGGGGACCAGCAGTGCTGCTTGGACAGGAGGCAGGCGACACTAACCCTGGGCTCGGGGGCCTTCCTGGTGGGAGGACAAAGCCTTTTCCCCTCCCTCCTTGGACTTGACATCAATGCCCACTTAGGAGACCCTGCTGCGAGTGCAGCACCCGAATAGCTGCCTGGCTCATGGGATGGACCCAAATGCTTATTGCAATCTAAAAAGGGAGCTTAGAAAATAGTGTCATTGTCCTTTCATGGCCAGAAGAGAGAAATGTTCAGGTTGGCAACACTGAGATGGTTTGAGGTGGTTGCTGGAGGCAATAATGGGTGGCAGTGGGCTTTCAAGGGATGACTACGAGATCTCTCGCCCTCATCAAAAGCGATGTGGGGAGAGAGGCAGGTGGTCCCTGGCTCTCCAGCCACCCTTGTCCCTCCCTGCCACACCTTGGGGAACCAGGCAGGAGCACATGGGGGTCCTCAGCATCTCACCAAATGGCCCCATGGAAAACCAGAATAACTAAAGCCAGCCTGAAGAGAGCGAGGAGCCTCTGGGAACACTCGCCTCAACTGCAGACACAGAGGTGGTTGGGGAAGCAACCAGCTGAAGTGAGCAGCCCCGCCTCGCATGATTGCAGCTCCTCACGCCTCTACTTTGTGTTCAGTTTTAAACCTGAGATCATTTGGTTTTGTCATGTGTAGTTTGATCTAAAGATAGAAATGAATGACAAGAGGAGGACCAAGGGAAAGGGAGAGAAACCGTGTGGACCCAGAAAAGAAAAAAACACCACTCCAAGGATGACACAGGACACAGACATGCACAAACGGAGACCCCTGAGGTATTAGCTTTGCAAACTAGCGCAAGACAAGGGAGAAAGCAAAGACAGCTGCAGGGAGAGATGTGCTTTGCAGCGGAGGCAGTTCAGTGCCTACAGCTCCAGAAAGCAGCTTCTCAGCAAGCCTGATGTTAAGGTTTGGGGGCAAGAGCTTGGCTCCCCACCGGGATGGGGGGAAGCAGCCAAACGCCTCTGAAAATGAGTTGGTTGTGCCCCCCGTGTGCTTGCAGAGCTTCGTGTCTGGCTGGCTTATCACCCACTGGAAGGAGGGGAGCCAGCCCAGAGGGGAACAGGGCCGGGTGAGTACCGGCACCTGCAAACACACTCCCCGTGAGTTTCTCGGATGTGAAGCAAAGGATGGGGGAAGCCTGAAAAACCACCGTCCTCAAAAGGAAAACGGTGCCCATACCTCCCAAGCAAGGTAGCAGAGGGGCTGGGACAGGCAAGCAAGACACCCCCCTGACAAGAAATCCCAACTACCGCCAGCCTCCCCTCCCTGCCTCCACTGCTGCAGCCTCCAATGCCTTCCCCACGTAGCTGGAGGTGACATCCGGCACCCTTCCCTCTGCTTCAGGTGACTCCCTCCTCACCCTCTCCAGCAAGGATGGGCAGCCCAGGGGAGGGAAGGGGGGCACGGCCGGGGTGGGGACGATGGCTGGGATGGAATGATGGCTGGGATGGGGGTGATGGCTGGGGGGAGGATGAGGGGAAGCAAACAGAGACCAAGGGGTGAAGAAGCGGCAGCAGCTTCCAGAAGAGAGTTTTCTGGCTCAGTTTGTGTTGTAAGAAGGTTTTATGGTTTGCTCGTTCGCTTGTTCATTTCTAGAAAAAGTGCCCAGAAGAGTCTCCTGTCCCCTTGTTGCTGTGCCCAGAGGGAAAGGGGGAAAATCTTTTGTCATTGACATGAGCTATAGAAGGAGCCACAGGCCTCAGATATTGCTTAGAAACTCGTATTTCAGATTTAAATACCATACACAGTAAAAATAGAGCTGAAAGTACCGCCCCACATTGTCTGCAAATCATTGCCAGAATGAACAGCTTCAATAAATTAAAAACAAAACAAAAAAATTGAAATATTATTTACGTCTCAATAAAAATTGCAGTAAAACCATTTACCTTTTCCTTTGTGTGTGTTTTCGGGTTTTTTTTCTTTATATTATATATAATATATATTTATATATGTATAGGGCTGCTCCAGTGCAGCATTTTTAGGCTACTTAGCCAGAGAAACATGGGGGAGCATGCTTAGTGCACCCGGGTGCAGGGAAGGGGCGGCCATGGTCCCCCCCACAGGCGCTGTGCCCCATCCCCACGGGCAAAATTGCGACCCCTGCCCCTTCCCACTTGAATTTTACAGGCTGGGACCCCCTGGGGATGGGGGGGGAGGGACGGGGCGGGGGCGGGGGG